GAGCCATATTGGTACTAGAGTAGCTACTACTACTACATCTCCTACTTCTGCGGTGACGACGCTTGCTATTATTGTTACGGCTACCGCTACTACTGGTACTGGTAGTCCATGTACGCATACTAGTACTATTGCTTATTCAACTACCCTTGATATTTCATTATTATTATTATTTTAAAAAATAAAAAATCGTACCTCTATTGCTAGTTCGACTATTATGTCTACTGCTACTAATTCGAATATCATTGCTTCTACGACTACTTCTACTACAACTAAGGCGGCGACTACTACAACCACTGCCACTACCCCCACTTTTTTTTCATTACTACGTCTACCATTACGACTACGATTGTTATTTTTACTCGTACTATTGCTACTGCGACTACTACGGCTACGTCTACGCCTACGACTACGACCACGACTGCGAGCGACTTTTATTGCTACCACAACTGTCTCTAGCATGCGTGTTCTTACGCTTGCTATGTTTATCATTATTACTACGACTACTACTAGTAGTTCACTGAAGCTTTACTTTTGCGACTACTACTACTTCTAGTGTTATTATTACCGCTGCTACGACTAGTTCTATCACTACTACTGTTACTGCTACGACTACGATTACTACTATTACTACGACTACCACGGCTACTATCTTTTTTAGTATTACGACTACTTCTTCTCCTTCGTCTACTTGTATTACTACTGCCACGACTTCTACCGCTACTACTACTACGACCAATGTTTTACAACAGTTGATTCGAAAATCATAGCAGCAACTCATATTTCTAATGCCTGCTGGTATTCATGGTTTTCGAAGCACTCCTTGTCTGTCTGCTCGCAAATCCTCACGCCTGTGTGCTGATCCTCCTCCTTCTGCTGCTCCTCCTTGTCCTCCTCTTCCTGCTCCTGTCAAAGAGCAAACAGAAAACCGCACGAACATAAACTTTCGGCGCTCCGCGCGGAGTTCTCTTGTGGGCTGGGCGCTCCCTGGCGCGCTCCTCGCGCCAGGATCTGGCGTCCAGCGTCGATCCAAGAAATCCGCGCGGGGCGCCGAACGTTTATGTTTTTGTCGTTTTTTGTTCCTCTATCCTCCCTTTCCTCCTCCTCCTCCCCTTCGTCGTCGTCCGCCTCTTCCTCCTCCTGTTCCTCCTCCCCATCCTTCTCTTGCACCTCCTCGACTTCAGCAACAGTTCCCCACTGTGGGCGGCAGTTTCGTGGGTTTTCGGCGGTTTTCCAACCTCTGGATGCGCTCCAGCATCTGCGCTTCGCCGAGGGCCTTCCGGGGTTGCCCGGATTGCCCCGAGCGGCCGCCGGAAAGCAGAGTTATGCCAAGAAGGCCAGGTCTTCCTCCTTCCTTCCCTCTCCTCCTCCTCCCCTTCGTCGTCGTCCGCCTTCTCCTCTTCCCCCCTCCTCCTGCTCCTCCTCCTCCTCCTCCTCCTCCTCCTCGTGTTTGAGCTGAAGGCCTATGGGTCATTCTGACGCGGCCTTCCTCCCCCCCGGGGCGGTTACCCCTGGGTGGGGGTGATGCTGTAGTGAGACCAAGGAGGGACCCGACCAGCAGACCCCCAAGGGGCGGAGTAGCTGGGTCCTCTGACACCCTTGGGGGGGGAAGGGAGCGATAACGACAAGGCTTGAAGGAAAAACGGGGGGTGGGAGGGAGGGAGTCCTGCAGGAAAAAAACAGAGGAGGAAGGGGTAGGGGCGACTGTGGTAAATATGGCGTGCGAAGTTAGGTAGGCTACGGAGGTTGGGGCGAGAGTAGACGATTTTACAGGGCCGCGTTGGGTGCCGCTTGCTAGGGTGCTTGGCCAATATGCGCCCGGCGAAAGGGCCTTACCCAATCTTCCCATAGGAAGCCTCATTGAGACGACCCCCATCCCGACCCAGGGCACCCCCACTCGCCACGTGGGCGAAGGGATCCCGAGAGTGAGGGGAAATGTCGTTCGGGGGCTTCCACCGGGTATTGCGAGGTTTGCGTCTTCCCGTCGCGGCGGCCACAGTTGGCTCAACCTCCCTTCACCATCCCAATCATCGACCTCTCCCCGGACACACACACACACACACCAATACACACTCACACAACCCCCCCCCCCGCACCACACCAACACCCACACCCACGCACCCACCCACACCCACATCTACACCCACACACCCACACACCCACACACCCACACACACCCGCAAACATTCGAACACATACACATACACATACACATGTACATGCACATTCACATGCACATGCACATTCACATGCACATTCACATGCACATGCACATGCACATACACATACACATACGCGTACACATACACGTACACGTACATTTACACATACACGTACACATACACATACACATACATAGACACATACACATACACATACACATACACACAAACACATACACACATACACACATGCACATGCACATGCACATGCACATGCACATGCACATACACATACACATACATAGACCCATACACAGACCCATACACATACACAGACCCATACACTACACACTACACACGTACGCACTACACACGTACACACTACACACTACACACTACACATTACACATTACACTTTACACACTACACACTACACACTACACACTACACACTACACACCCCCACACCCCCACACCCCCACACCCCCACACCCCTGTACCCCCACGCCTCCACACCCCCACACCCACACACCCACACACCCACATTCCCACACCCACACCCACCCACGCGCGCACGCACGCACGCACCCACGCACCCACACACCCGCGCAACCACGCACCCACGCACCTACGCACCCACGCACCAACGTACGGTGGCACGCACGCACGCCCGCCCGCACGCACGCACGAGCACACATACACAGAGGCGGTTGGCGCTGTAAATGCGTTGTTGCAGCAAGTAGTCGGCGCTGGAGGCGACGGAACATATGGTGGCTAAGCGAGAGGTGGTACTGAAGAAGGGGAAGGCGTCGCTGCTGCATGCGAGCGAGCAGGTGGGCGCGGGTGACGTTAGAGGTGGTGACTGCGTGCTGTGGCCGCCCTTGCCAACGCCAGGACGGCCGTGTGTGAGTTGGCCCATTCCACCTGGATTCCCATGGTATACGAACACCCCACTTTGTGTGCGAAAGTGGCGCTGGTCACGCATGGCTGCAACATGCGAGAATAGGTTGGCAGCAGCCGGGAAGCGTTCAAAAGAGCGGCATCAGTGCCAGGGTGTGCGTCTGAGCTTACAAGGCTGTGGCGGTGGTGTCTGCTGCAAGAGCTGCGGCGGATGAAGCAAGGGCGGAGGCGAAGGAGGCACGGCAAGATTGCAATGCTGCGCTGCGGCCGTGAGCCCTCTGCCAGTTGCCGGGATCGGCAGGCGGTGGCCGTGTGCCGCGGCCGCCCCGGCCCTTGCCAGGACGGCCGACGGCGCGCTCCCTCTGGCCTCCCCCCCCTTCTGCCCAACCCGTCCCGCCCCACAGGAGTGGTGGAGGGGAAGGTTCGTGGGAGGGCGGGTGGGCGGACACGCCGCACGGAGAGCTGGGCAAGCAGGCGCCAGGAGCAGGGCTGTACCCAAGCGGTGTTTTTTTGCGATCTCGTGGGCCGTTTTCGTTTTGATTTCGTTTTGCGGTAAAGGCGGATTGAAGACAAAAGCAAGGGAAAACGAAAACAAAACGAAAACGAAAACGAAAAACACCGTTTAGGTTCAGCCCTGGCCAGGAGCTGGGGGAGGTTACGAGGACCTGCCTGGCCTCACCCGTGCCCCTCCCTTTCTTTTCCCGTGCGGCGTAGGCTGAGCTTGCTCGACCCGCGCCTTTCGCGTGAATGCGTGAAGCCGTGAGTCGGCAGCCGTCGGGTATAGCCAGGACCCCAGTCAAGAGGACCCAGTTAGTGGTAGGGCCCTGGAGTCCTTGAACTGGCTAGAATCACTAAACCAGGTCTGCCGTAGCCCTTTTTTTCGGGTGGCGCCAGTTCCGGTTAGTGGAACGGGGCGGGGGGGGGCGGCCCCCAGTACACATCTTTAAACCAGGTTCCACGAAACCCAGTTCTTCCAACGCCCGAAGCCGGGAGGGAGTTGGAGGTTGGACGGGCGCTCTCAGTGGCCATGCTGACGGTGGGTCCTGCGTGTCGCATGCGTTCGAGGCCCCACGTCGTTGGGGTTAAGGTGACGCCAGGGATTCGTGCGCGAGGACTCCATCATTTGGCGTTGATCCTGACGACTGGGTGAGAATGTTGCGGCAGGTTTTGGAGCCCTGCATGGCCGCAGACCCACGCGTGTTCTGTCGGATGAATTGCGTCCATAGATTGCCAATGCGTCGGGCGAATCGTATTCTGTGGGTGAGAGAGCCGCGGCGTGTTTTGGAGCCCCGTGTGACCGTGGACCCACTGTACAGCATCGCCCTACATGGGGTTGTGGTCGCCGCCGTGTGCTGAGTAGCGTGGTGGGTGAGAAAGCCGTGGCATATTTGTGTGTCAGCACGGACCCACTAGCATAGCGTTGGCCCCGTTGCATGTTGCATGTGGCCTGTGGGTGAGAAAAACGCGGCGGGTTTTGAAGCCAGCGGACCCACTTCATAGCATAGCGATGTCCGTGTTTTGGAAGGGGTCGCCGAATGGTGGATTTTCTGCAGCACGTCGGATGAAACTTTTCAGTGGGTGAGGAAACCACGACGGTTTTTGAAGCCTTGTGTTCAGTGGACCCACTGCCGCATACGTTTGCTTCGAAGTTTACGTAGCCGCCGTGCTCTGGTTGTAGGTGGGGATTGTTGTGCCTTGCCGTAGAATATGGAGATCGTTATGTCGATACGGGCGTCGCGTTCCGTTGGCGGAGGAGAGGTACCAGCTACTGGTGCTGCTGTCGGCGTGGACACTTGGTGCGTTAACGTGGTGAAAAGGGTAGTGCGGAGGTCAGGTGTAAGGATGGAAACAGCTGGTGTGTGTGTGTGTGTGTTGGTTGCGGAGCAGCCTGGGACAACATTGGTAGGTGCTTGTCGTTTGTGCCCAAATGGTTACGAATCTCTCCTCCTCCTCCTCCTCCTCCTCCTCCTCCTCCTCCTCTGGTGGCGGTCATTCGGCGTCTCGAAAAATCGAGACCGAGGTTTCTAATAATTTTCGGTCCCCCCCCGGAGTGTTGCTTGCACCACCCCGGGAGAGGTCCAGGGAGTAGCAGTACCTGTACTTCTCGGTTCCCCAGGCTGGGGCCGGCGGTGGCGCCAGGCGGCACAGCACGAGGAAGAAACAACGGCATTTGGATATAAACTTTCCGGAGCCCCGCGCGGACTTCGCGGATCTCGACGCGGGGCCTCCAGGGCGCCGCCCTGGCGCGCCCTTGCGTTCTGGGAGGGGCGCCCAGCGCCGATGCAAGAAATCCGCGCGAAGCGAGGATATTTGTGCGCACGAGCTCTCTGCGTACTTGTCGTGGATTGGACGCGCAAGTCCAGTCTGGGGGAAAGGCATTCTGTCGTCGATCTTCATGCAACTGCCGTTTCTTCTGCCTCTCAAGCAGCAGCTCATGGGCGGAGGCCTCCCTGCCGAGGTTCGTCGCGGAAGAGAGCCCGTGGCGCGTTGACGAGGTGGACGGCGCGGCCCTCGACGAGGGGGCCCTCCGCAGGCACTTCCTGTCCGGGAGGCGGCCGCTGGTCATCCGGAACGGGGCGGGCGCGTCGCGCGCGATGCGCTGGGCGCCGGAGCAGGTCCAGGTTGCTTGGCATCGCTCGGACGTGTGCATTTTTCTTTCGGCGAGGACCATCGAGGAGCATCCTGGATCATCTGGCGAAAAAGCCACGCACGACGCCGAAGAAAGCACGGGGAAATGGACGTCCGAGCGACGGCCAGGGTCCAGGTTAAGGCTTCAGGCTGCACAGTGCTCCCCCTCCTTCCGGGGCGGGTCCACCCGCGCTCTGGCAGCGCACCGCTCTCCCTTCTCACGGCGGTCAGCCGTCCAGCTGGAGGAAGAGGAGGAGGTGGAGGAGGGGGAGGAGGAGGAGGAGGAGGAGGAACATGTGTAGAGCAAGTCCGAGTCCGAGTCTGCTTCCACAGGCCCCCCCGAGCAGTCCAGGGCGGCCTCGGCACCCCAGCCCCAGTCGGGTATAGCCAGGACCCGGGTGAAGGGGAGCCGGTTAGCGGTTAGCGATTGGGCCCCGAAGCCCAGAATATGGACCGGAATCACTAAACCAGCAACCGTCTTGTCGCTCGTTTTTCTCCTCCTCCTTCTCCTCCTCCTCTCTCCAGCGTGCTCCAGATTCGCTCCGCCGGAGCACGTTCCAGCGTGCTCCGGAAACGCCCCGCCGGAGCACGTTATCTTGGGTGCCCTTTTCTATAGTCGGCTTGCGGGCAAAAAAAACAGGTCTGCCGCAGCTGGTGTTTTTCGGGCGACGGCAGTTCCGGTTCGTGGCACGGGGCGGGGGGGGGGGGGGCGTTCCCCAGTGCGCATCACTAAACCAGGTCACACTAAAACCAGTCCTGCCAACGCCCCACCCAGGGTCGCCGCCGGAGGCGGCGCAAGGGTGTTGAGACCACCCCAGGGATTAGTCGAGCGCCTGTGAAGGCCAGCTGGGGCTGCCCTCGGGGGGCTGCCTGCGCGCAGCCCCGGAGCCTTCCCGATCAGGTCGTCGACGCGCTGTCAGACGATGCGGGTGGTGCCCAGGGCCTGCTTTCGGCGATACCCTATCCCGAGCACTACATTCGGGCCGGACGAAAGGGGGGGGGATTGGGAAAGGGGGGGTTACGACATCTGCTGCGTGCAGCTGGTTTCGGCCCCGCCGCCGGGTCCATTCCTCGATACATGGGCGCCTCCCGGCGCCGGGAGGCGCTTTGAAAATCAGCTACGTGAGCTGATTCTCAACCCCCCCTTTGCTATCCCCTCCTTTCGCCCGGCCCGATACATGCCTGGGGCGGCGGTGGCGGGCGCCGTGACTGCGGGCGGCGCCGCGGAAGTGCTGTCGGGCAGCACGGGGTATCTCTTCAGGGAGGTGCCCGAGCGCTCCGCCCTGGCCCGCCTGATTCGGCGACTACAAATGGTGTGGTCACGCCTGGTGGGGCTGAGTGTTTACGCAGGGGGTTTACGCCGGGTGGTTACGTCGATGTGGCGATCTGCGTCGTTGGGGCTAGAGGGGGGCACCACGTTAACCCGTTGGGCCAGGTCCTGGCCCGCCCCCCCAGGGTGCGGGCTGCAAACCACACCCTTTGCAGACCACACCCTTCGGAATCGCCGACTGATGTCGAAGCAGAAACAAAGGCATGAACATAATCTTTCGGAGCTCCGCGCGGATTTCTTGGATCTGCGCTGGGCCCCCCCTCCCTGGCGCGCGGAGCGTGCCAGGGGCGGCGCCGGAGGCGCCGCCAGGTAGGTGGTTCCACCGGCGCTCCAGGAACTCCGCGAGGAGCTCTGACGGTGTATGCTTATGCAGGACAGTACACCCCCCCCACCCCCACCCCTAGATAGGACCTCCACCCCCGACCTGGCGATCCAGGGGTCCTGGCTGAGGGTGAGGATGGCAGTGTGGTCCCCAAGATCCTCCCCAAACCACCCCTACCCCCAGCCACGACCCCCTGGACCACGAGGACGGGAGTGGAGGTCCTGGCTCGGGGTGGGGGTTGGTGGTGGGTTGTGCTGCCCTCATGCCGTTTTTTCGCTTCCGCGGTCGAAAGAGACCTGGACCCGGCCGACGTGCTCCCCAGCATCTTCGGCGTGCGGGGCCAGGTGGTGTTCCGGCAGTTCTCCTTGGGCCAAAGCGGCACTGGGGCGCCCTGGCACTGGCACCAGGACTTGGGCCGACGGGAACGGGGGGGCAATGAAACGTATGATGAGGCGTGCCATTGATCAGAGGAGAACGAGAGGGCACCGATATCGCTACCCTGTCCTCGTTTTCGCCTTTTGGGGCCTCCTGGGAGACCCTCGTCGCCACGGCTTGATTCCCCTCGAAACTCTTGTCAGAAAGAGCGCCTGGAGAGGTCTGATGAGTAATGCTATCGGTACTTGGTTCCTCAGTTGCTATTGTTTTTTGTTCCCCGACGGAGGCGTCCAACGCCTTCTGAAGCTTGGAGGAAATGGAGGAGAAGGAGGAGAAGGAGGATGTTGGGTTGAGTGCGTCTGTGGGTCCGAGATGGGCCATTGTTGTAGAAGTGCCACCGGGGGGTGTATGCATAGGGGGGGAGCTCTGGCGGTGAACTAGAGCCCTTGCAAGCCATCTGGAGAACGCGATGTTTTTAACGTGTTTGGGCGGCGCCTCCCTATCAACGAGGTCGTCTTTGCAATCGTAGAACCAAGCTGCGTGGGTTCAGATACATATGCGCCTCGCACTGAGCAGATTCTCCGCCGCAGTTCCCGCATTCATTTGTCCCAGCCCAGGATGTTCCAGAGCCTCGGTGGCGGCTCTCGAATGTCCCGCGTTACCGCACCTTGTTTTCCAACGCAGGATAGGCCAAACACCCCCGCGCTCGCGGCGGCTCTCGCCTCTCCGTGCGTCTATTCATTCTGTGCACGCGCGATGGGCCGAGGCTGCCACGCGAGCGGCAGCTCGCGCGTCTCCCGCAGTGGCAATTCCAGCGCGGGATGGGCCCAGGCCGCTCCGCCCGCGCCGGCGCTCGCCTCTCGCCAGCAGCGTGTCTTTGGTCCCTGCTCGCTCGGCCCGGGCCGCCGCGCGCGGCGGCTCTCGCCTTGCCCGCGCTGTGTTTTTTCCCTCGCTCGATTGGCCACACCGTGCGCGCAATGCCTCGCCCGCATTCTGTTTTTCCGCGCCTGATCGGCCCGAGCCGCCGCTCGCGCGGCGGCTGTCGCCTCTCTCGCATTGCTTGCGTTTTTTTCTCGCCAGATGGGTCTGAGCCGCCGCGGGCCAGCCGCGGCAAGCGCGCGACCTGATTGGCACGCGCGCGTGCGTCGTGGGTCGCGCGCGTGCGTCGAGGGATCTGCGCTGTCCAAGAAGACGAAAAGTCGCCATTTGGACTTGGAGATCATCGCGAGCCCTGACATGCCACAGATTTGATCTCGAGGCTTTCATTGCGGTTGTCTGCCTGCAATGCAGAACCTCCCGCGCGCAAACGACTGGCGCTCGCTCGCGCTCGTGAAGAGTTGTGCGTTTCGCGAGCCACATGCGCAATGCCGGCTTTCACTTGGAACGAATCCTACTTGACCGCCGTCTGGGTTCCAACATGGGCATGGCAATCTTCTGTTATCTACCAGTGCTGAACTCCAAGCACACGCGTGGAGTCGTTTACGTTACAGTCAACTAGGATTTGCCGACGTGTTGACCTCTGAATCAAAGTGGTCTCCTTGCGGTGTGTTGCGTTTTTTTGGTGTGGGCCTTGCAGGACCCTGCGCGCTTCGCGCGCGTGGAGAATTCTGCAATGCCGAACATCGAACAGTTGAGATGACGTCCTGGCAACCTCTGGGCGGTAACCAGTTGCATCTCCAAGTTGTCCGTGCTTGTCCTTTCATTTAGTCATGTATAAGTACCCACGCGCGCGTGGAGAGCGCTGCATGCTCGAAGAGAGAAGATTCGCCATGTTGGTGTGGGAACTACAGTGAATCCTCAGCGGCCGCCGACGGGCTGTCTGAGTTAGCATGACGACTTTTCTATTGGGGGCAATCCAAACATGTCCAACTGCGCGGGAAGGCAGGTCACTGTTATGTTAAGATGTTGTTTTGCTACAGCGGCGAAGGTCGGCCTGTCTGCCTGGGCACTCGAGTTGCCATTCGGCGGCGACCGATCGGAGGTCGAGGTTAACGCGGCCAACTTATATTTCGGACACTGCTGTGCTCTCCGCTCGCGAAGCGTCTGCGCGTGGAGAGATCTGCGTGGCTCAGAATATGAGAGTGGCCCTGGCGGCTGGGAAATCAGAATTGGCCCGGCGCGCTCGTCATTTCCACTAACCGTTCGCATGTCTCACTTGGGGCAGCGCAGTCATTCCCGCGCGCGCGGGGCGTTCCGCGTTGACCCGAATTGGGTCGCCGTGTTTGTCTGGGAACTAAAAAGTAACTTGTGTAGCGGTCACCAGCGTATTTTTCAAGTTGGCATGGGGCTTCTGGTGCTCTGCGAGCAACGCAGAACTCCCAACGCGCGCGCGTGCTCGCGCAGGGCGGGGGCGATGTGTTGCCTCAGAGAGCGTCGCCGCTTCCGAATGGAACTCGAAGCTGGCTCGTTTCTATCGCCGAGTGGATTTACTAGCCGCGCGGATGGCCCTAGCAAAAACCGCGCCTGGGGGGCCGCCGTCGTGACTCGCGCCGCGCTGCGCGCGGCTGCAATTCAAAGGGCACGTGGCCGAACAAGATCGTTGACTGAACATCGCGCCATAAGATTTGAGGACTGAAGACCCAGCGCGACCGAACGCGTGGGCGGAATTCAACATCGCTGTGGTTTCGAACCAAACAATTGCGTTGGTCACGCTCGGTCGGCCCAGCGTGAAACGGCGACGGGGTGGAGAGCGGCTGGGTGAGAGCGGCCAACGGGGGGGGGCGACCGATGGCGCGTCGCCAACATGGCGCATCAACAGGCGTAGGTGGCAGCAGCGTCAGACGTCACCATGGTGCGTCGACTCGACGGGGCGCGTCAAGGGGGCGCGTCAGATCGCTGGGGGGAGGCCGACGGGGGCGTCGACAGGGCGCGTCCCTAGGGCGCGCCAACAGGGTGCGTCAAGACGGGGGGTGCGTCAACAGAGTGCGCCAAGACGGAGGCTGCGTCAACTGTGGGCGTCACAGCGGCAAGGTTCGTCGGGGGGTCGCGTCAGCGGCGGCCACGGGGGGGGCGCGGCCGCGTCGCCCAGGCGCGGGGCGGCGCCGATGGGGCGCGCCATGAGGGCCTTTCCCGCGCTGCCCCTCGGAGGAGAGACGTGTATCAGCCGGCGCTCCGCGCGGAAGACGGCATTTAGAAACCTGATATGCAATGGCCCGCGCTCTGCGCGGAGGCGCGCCCGGCGCGCCGCGCGTCCGCGCGGCGCCGCGCGCGCCGCGCAGAGGCAGGGATTCGCGCCAGCGCGAACCAAATCATGATGATTTGTCAGCTGCCGCGCGCGAGCGGGGCGGCGCTCGCAGATCCTTTCTGGTAAAGCGCGCAGTGCGGAGAGAGGCGAGGGCCGCCGCGCGCGCGCGGCGGCGCTGGCCCGCCCCGCGTAAGTGAAGGCGCAGCGGGAAAGGCGAGAGTTTCCGAGCGGGCTGCGGCTTGAACTCATGCTGCGCGGCAGCGCGCGCCACGCGGGGGAGTCGAAAAATGCGCCGCGCGCGGCGATTTCGGCCCATCCTGCGAGGCAGAAGACGCAGGAGGAGAGCGAGAGCCACCGCGCGCGCGGCGGCTTCGGCCCCGCCGGGTCGATGCAACACCGTGCGTGAGAGGCGACTGCCACCGCGCTGGCAGCAACTCTGGCCCATCCTGCATATATGAAACGCGCGTGCATGGCGGGGGGGGGCGGGGGGGGGCGCGAGCCGTCGCGCGTGCGACTGCCTGGGCCCGTGCTGCGTGGAAAACACGGTTGGAGATGCGGGGGCCGCCGCGCGCGCGGTGGTTCGGGCGCGCCCTGATTGGGAAACGAGCGCCGAAGGAGAGGCGAGAGCTGCCGCGCGCGCAGCGGCTTCGGCCCATGCTGCGTGCGAAAGCACAATGCGGGGGAGGCGAGAGCCGCCGCGCGCGCGGCGGCTTCGGCCCATCCAGCGTGGGGAAGTCGCAGTGTGATCGGTGAGACCTGCGTCGGACAAGCACGCAGTGGCAGAGACGAGAACCACCGCGCGCGGGCCTTTTCTGCGCTGGGGGGGAAAAAAACGCCAACGGGCGAGGTGAGAGCAGCCGCGCGCGCGGCGGCTCAGGCCCGCGCTGCGCGGACAGAGGCGCACGCGCGCACTGGGATGGGCGAGGGCCGCCGCGCGCGGCAGCATTGGCCCATCCTGCGTAAGGGAAACAACGCAGGAGAGACGAGAGCCGACGCGCGCGCGGGGGCGCTGGGCCATCCCGCGCGGAACGCACAGCGCGGGAGAGGCGATAGTTGCCTCGGTTGCGGCTTCGGCCCAGTCGGTGCGGAAGTAGACGCAGCGGGTGAGGCGAGAGCTTCCAAGGGCCAGAGGACCCTCAAGGGTGGGGGTGGCTTTCCGCTTTGACGGCGCGGCAAGTCAACCTGCTTGCTCAGAGGGCCCGATCGTGTGCCCGCGTGGCGCAGTGCGGCAGGCGCGCGGGAGAGCACTCCAGTGGCGTGCCGGCGCGTAGGGGGAAGAAGGGGGGGACGCCACCTCTCGATCCAGTCGGGGAGCCGCCGTGCTCCCGCGCGCCCCGTGCGGCGGGTAGGACTGTCTTCGTCCTTCCGCCGCGTCTCTGGCCTGACCCGCCGCAGTTGCCCTGCCAATTTTCGTATTGACTTGGGAGGTGCTTGGAATGTCGGCCTGGCGCCCGAGGCCGCGCGCCCCATGCGGCTGGTTGGATTGTCTTCGTTATTCCGCCACCTCTCCGGCTTGGCCCGCCGTAGTTGCCCCGCCAATGTTCGCATTGACCTGGGAAGTGCTCTGAATCCTGGCCGGACGCCCGTGGGTGAGCGACCGAGTATAGCACCCAGGGGCGCTCGCCCGAGTGCAGGGGCATCCGTCTTCTCATCGCACCTTGCACTTTGTACCCTGGCGGCAGACTCAAGGGATGGGCAGAGTTGATGGGGTAGTGGACGGGCTGTGAGGGAAATCCTGGAGCTCTCTCGCGGCGTGTAAAGCATTGTATCTAGTCCACGCGTCCGCTCCGTAAGATATGGGTCGACGTTCGCGCGGTGGTGCTGCGACGTAGGGCCGACGGTAAATTTGACGTAAATCCGATTGCGACCCCACGAAAGTTCGGTCTCAGGTTGCTACGCGAGGCTTTCAGGTTTTTCTGGTAAAACGTAGGGGGTTCAGAATTGCAGGGGGGCGGCGCAAAAAGGGGCCCTGAAGAGCCCCATCAGCTGCCACCGTGGGCCCAAACGGTGCACGAAAAGGCGCACGTTTCTTCACCCCGCGCTTGTTGCCTGAGGATAGCACCCCACCACCCCCAACCAGGACCCCTACTCCCGACTTCGTGCTCCAGGGCTCGTGGCTGGAGGTGTGGGTGCTTACCAACAACCCCTTGGCATCGCTCGGACGTGAGCATTTTTCCTTCGGCGAGGACCATCGAGGAGCATCCTTGATCAGTTGGCGAAAAACCACGCACGAAACCGAACAAAAACACAGGGAAAGGACGTCCGAGCGATGGCGAGACCCCCCCCCAGCCAGACCCCCTTGATAGGTCGGGAGTGGGGGGTCCTTGCTGGGGGTCGGGGTTGGTTGTGCTGTCCTCAGTTCACCTTATCGCTCCGCATCCGATTCGACGTCGAATCAAGGATGCAACGACGACGCATCGGGACAAAGGATCGTTCCGCAGCGACGATGCATCGACGATGCGATTCGATGTGGAGCCAGAGTTTCTCCACGCCGACGACGCCGATGCATCGCCGACGTCGCCGACGCATCGCCGAAGCATCGCCGATGCATCCGTGCATCGACGAGGCGGCGCGGTCCTCCGACCCTCTGGCCCCATCTGGGTGGCTTCTACAGTCGACACCGATGGTAAGGATGAGTGAACCTTTCCAATAGGTACCCTTGCATCTGTGCCTCTTTGGTCCATCCTTGACTACTTTCGATGGCCCGCCGCGCTCGAAACAGCTTCAACACGGGCGTCCAAGGGGCCCTGCATCCTTACCCCGCAGCGTTATTATTAGTTTTGACCGTACGGTCGGCCCTGATTGGTAGGTCGGCCATGCCAAATCGACGGTGCCCTTGTGTCCTGTCCAGCCCGACCTATGCAAACCGCATGTTCTTTGGTGTTTTGGGGCCACGTTGCCGTCGGAAGAGTCTTGTGTCCTCTAGGATGTCCTATCCACAAGGGCGCCCTCGAGGGCGCGAAGTTTCTCGCGGTTCGCGCTTCGCGGCGGTTCGGCTACGATTTCTCCACGTCTCCTTTTCTCCCTTGGGGGGTGGCGAGAGCGCGAAGATCGCCCCGCCCGTAACGCTTGTAACGTGTGGTCCGCCCCCCCCCACACCTCCCCCGTAACGGTAACGATCGTACGGCGGGCGGTGGCGCGAACCCCGTCCCCCCGTGCGTGTGGCTGTCGCGGTGTACACATCGGCGGCGTACACGGGCGTTGTTGTGCACGCAGGCACTGTGGTGTATACCTGCGCTGTATTGCACGCGGATGTTGTGGTGTACGCAGGCGCTGTGGTGCGCGCAAGCACCCCTGCCCGGGTGACAATAGAAGATGATGTTCTTTCCTCCGCACAGGCCTGGCGACGGCGACGGCGACGGCGGCGACGACAACGACGAACGACAACGCCGTGTGGCTCAAGGGTTTCCTTGACTCAAGCATCTTGGACTCCTGCTGCTGTTCCTCCTGCTTCTCCTGCGTACATTCCTTGTGCTGACGCCGTTCCGCGCGCCCCAGGGCCGCGTGGTGTTCACGGTCGCTGTCGTGCATGCAGATGATGCCGCAGCATCTGCAGCGGTCCCAAACATTATGGTGTTCGCAGGAGGGAGGTGCACAGAGGCAGCGCAGTGTGCACAGGCAGTGGCGGCCAAAAACTGGGGGACCGCGCCCCGAGCCACAACATTCAATGTTACCAATAATTGACACATTGATTTCTGATGCGTTCGGGCCCCCAGCGGTAGCGTGGTGTACGAGTGCGCTCTAATGCACGCGGCCGCTGTGACTGCTATGCACGCGGCGCTCTGGTGCACGCGGGCGCGGCCTGCGGGCTACAGGCGCTGCCATGCACGCGCACGGCTACAGCGGTATTTACGGCAACGGCTCTGTGATGCACACGGCTTACGTGGTGTGCGCGGGCCATGTGGTGTACACATGCGCTGTGGTGCACGCGGGCCTTGCGACACAGGCACTCAGCCGCTCCATTCTAGTGTACGCAGGAGCTGTGGAGCACGCAGGCGCTGTGGTGTACACCGGCGCTGTGTTGCATGGTGCACTCAGGGACTGCCGTGTACACAGGCGCTGTGGTGTACACGGCTGCTCTACTGTACATGGGCGCTGCGGTGTACAGATGCGCTGTGGTGCACGCAGGCACTGCGGTGTGCACCGGCGCTGTGTTGCACACGGCTGCTTTGGTGTACGCAGGCGCTGCGTTATGCACAGGCGCCGTGCACAGGCCCTGCGGTGGACGCATGCCCCCCCCCTCTGGCCCCCACCCCAATCGTCACCGTTACCCCCCTGCGCCCCCCCCCGTAACGGACCCTCCGGGCCCAGAACAAAACAAGCGCTCTTGAAGCTATCGGCGCTTCGCGCTTCGCGCAGCGCGAGAGCGACAAGCTGGGCGCCCTCGTGTCCAATCAAGTCCGCCTGTACAGTCAACGCGCATAGTAAGGACAAACGACTTTTTCAAGGGTACCCTTGGGTCCTTGCCTGCCTCAGCCTCTGCGGCCCGTCCCTAGCAATTTTCGCAGGCCAGAATACTTCAACTTCGGCCTCCAATGGTCTTGCGTCCTTACCACGCGTCCTTACTGTACGTTCTCACTATATCGCCGCCCCCGTCATCGCACCCCCGAAGGACGCGTTCAACATCTGCGTGGCCGGGGAGCGCAGCTGGCGCTTCCGGCCGCCCTCCGCCGCCCTGATGTCCCGGGTGCCGGTGCGCCGGGGCGTGCCGCTCGGGGCAGATCGGGGGCGGCCCAGAGGGGGGTGATGACTGCAGGGTTGGCAAAGTCGGTTAATGGAGAGGACGCATGTTGCAAATAATTTCCAGATTATGTAAAAAAACATGTTTGAGACATTCTTAGAACATGGTTTTACACACTTTAAGCACCTCTTTGATTCAATGATCGGATTGTTCGAGTGTCCATTGTCGTGGCATCCCCAACTGTAGGGGGGTCGGGCCGGGCACGAAAGGGGGGCCACAACATCGGCTGCGTGCAGCTGGTGTCGGCCCCGCCGCCAGGGCGCCATTCCTCGGTTGCCTGGTGCCTCCTCTTATGTCGGTGCGTCCCCGGCCCCCTCCCCCCTCTTGGACGCCCCCGAGTAGACGGGGGCACTCTCACCGCGGTCCAGCGCCCAGGCGACATCGTCTGCGTGCCCGAGCTCTGGGCCCACGCCGTGGTCCACTCGGAGACTCGAGGAAGCATCGGAGGAGGAGAAGGTGCCGATGCCGCTGCTCGCCCTGGAGTCCCCGTCGTCGCGGCTGGACTCTCCTCGGAGTTCTGGTCAGAGCGCACCCCTGGAGAGGTCCGTGGCGTAGCGGCACTGGTACCCTTTTTTGGTTTCCCCAGAGGAAAGAGTTCTAGGCCGCCTAGATGGGGTCCGAATAGATGGGGTCGGAGGATCGCGCCGCATCGCCGATACATCGCTGATGCGGCTCGATGTGGGGCCCGATTTGCTTCACGTCGACGTCGCCGAAGCAGCGCCGACGTCGCCGATGCATTGCCGTTGCGTCGCCGATGCATCGGCGATGCATCGACGATACATCGGCGATGCATCGACGATGCGGCGCGATCCTTCGACCCCATCTACTCGGACCCCATCTAGGAGGCCTCGAAGAGTGGGCATGGCCATCTTTTTTTGTGAGCCCCGCGCGGAGTTTTCGGAGCTGCGCTGGGCCCCCCTCTGGCTGGCGCCCCGGGGCGCGCCGCCTTCGGGGCGCGCGCTCCGCGCACCTGCCGGGGCGGGGGGCGCAGCGCCGTTCCCAGCGAGCTGCGCGGAGCTCCGACGCGTCGTGCAGCGTTTTGTGCCTCCAGTCGGCGGGCGAGCCCCGGGGGGAAAGGGCGATGGGGGCGGGCCTTCTCGGAAGGCGGCGGGGCTTCTCATAGGGGGCCACATGCGAACCCTACCCCTACCCCCCACGACTTCTGAGGGGGAGGGTGGGGTCGGGTTCGCATGTGGCCCCCTGCTCCAGTCGGCGGGCGAGCCCCGGGGGGGAAGGGCGATGGGGGCGGGCCTTCTCAGAAGGCGGCGGGGCTTCTCAGAAGCCCTCTGGCCCTCCGAGGAGCTTCCAGTGTCTTCGGGGAAGGCCCAGGCAGCTTTTCGGAAGCCTTGTGAGAAGGCCCGCTCCTTCTCACTTCCCCATGGACTCGCCGCCGAGCGTCGTCTCCGCCTTCCCCCTCCTCCTCTTCTTCCCTCATGCTCCCTTCTTCTTTTCGTTTAGCGCGCGCAGTAGCGAAGGAGTAAGGAGGGGGGACGCGCGCGAGGAGGAGGAAGAGGAGGAAGAGGAGGAGGAGGACCAGTGTAAACCCAACAGTCATCAACGAGGTTGGAGTAAACCCTCCCTCTTCATAGGCCCCTACAACGGTTCATGTCCACTGAGGGAACTGCTTCTTTGGAAGACAACCGTTTGAAGACCCTAAGGCATGCCAAGATACTGTTCTCGGGATTCCAGCGCCACGGATCAACGTGACTGTTGCGACTTGACGATCCTGAATCGTGCCAGAACGCCTTTCATGGGACTTCAACACCGCGAATCAACGTAACTGTTGCGCCGCCACAAGCCTGAATCCTGCGAGAACAGCATTTCTGGTGCGGTGATCATGGGAATCCGTGAAACTCTTGCACTATTTGAACAACGAATGCACGCGTCGCTAAGGCGAGAGCCGCATTTTGAAAAAGACCCACCCTCAATCCGTGAAGCTCTTGCAAATTTTGAAAACGAATGTGCGCGGCGCTAGGGTGAGAGCCACATGTTTAAAAAGACCCGCCCTCCATTTGTGACGCTGTTGCTTCTTTTCAAGCGTCAGGGCCGTAAATGGTGAGGAAGTCTCAGGCGAAACGCCCAGCCCGTCCTAAAAACTAGATTCGGGGCGCGACAGGGATAAGTTTCTTATCAGGAAAAGGAATGGAGGCGTATGAGGAGGAGGAAGAGGCGGAGGAGGAGGAGGCTCCCTCCGTCTTCCTCCTCCTCTGATCAGGGGTCCGAGCGCGGCCGCCAGGGCGCCCCAGGACAGCCAAAAGCGTCAAAAAGCGAACCTCGAACCTCGATTCAGGAAGGGGAAAACACACAGACACAATGAATCGTCGATTCCCCAGAAAATGTGGAACAACATGGGAAGGGGGTTGGGGAAGACGAAAATCTGAAAAACAAATATATGCGAACATAGGGGGAATCCTGGTATTCCTGTGTATTCATTCGTGTCTCCCGGGGCCCCTCTTTCTCGATGCTCGAGGCCGCGATCGGGCCCTCTGCCTTCCGCCCCGGGGCTCGCCGCCGACAGGTCAACACCACGCTCTCCGCCGCGGTCGCCTTCGAGCGGGCCGTGCCGCTCCCCTGGGCCCCGGCGCTGCGCCGGGGAGCTGCCGCGCACCGCCGCGAGCGCCCGCGGCGCCCGTGAGCTCCCCCTCGCCCACGGCAGGGCCCGAGCCTCCTCCTGCTCCTCCTCCTCCTCCTCAACCTTCTCCTCCCTCCTCCTCCTCCTCCTCCTCCTCCTTCTCCTCCCTCCTCCCTCCTCCCTCCTCCCTCGTCCTCCTGAGCTCTCTCGCCCATGGCAGGGCCTCGTCTCCGAGACTCCCAAGCTCGGGAGGTAGAAGTCAGCACAGGCGCAAGCAGACGTTGGTTCGGCGGCGCTGCTCGGCCCTCCCTGCCGCGCAGTGCCGTCGCCGCGTGCCGCACCCGAAAATGCCTGGGGGGCACCGCGTCGCCGAGGTCGCAGCGCTTGCCAGCGCCGAGTCGAGAAGTCGGATCGGATCGAGCTGTTTGGCGGCGGGCGAGGGGGGGAAGTGAGAAGGAGAAGAGGCCTTCTCAGGAGGCGGCGGGACTTCTCAGAAGCCCTCGGGCCTTCTGAGAGGGTTCTTTTTTTGTCTTCGGGGAAGGTTTTAGAGAACTTCTCAGAAGGCCGTGGAACTTCTGAGCCTTCTGAGAAGGCCCGCCCCGTCTCATTTCCCCCCGGGCGCGCCGCCTATTGATGCCCAGGAAAGCGTGGGAAAATACGGGAAGTGGAGGTGGAGACGGGAATCCGCAACACATGGAAACACGCAGGGGATCTTGGTAGGTGTGTCACTTTGTTCGTGTCTCCCTGGTCTCCTTGACAAGTGGGGTCCGATCAGATGGGGTCCACCCGTCAAACAGTTGGAGCGGCCGAGTGTCTGGGAAGTGGATTTGGGGGGGTTCTAGACCGAGGAGGCCGAGGTGCCGATGCAGCTACCCTTTTTTGTTTTCGCACTTTTGGGCCTCCTGGGAGGCCCTCGTCGCCGCCGCTGGATCCGCTTCGAAATTCTAGTCAGACCGCACCCCAGGAGAGTTCCGGGGAGTTGCGGTATCGGTGCGTTGTTTTGTTTCCCCATATATAGGCGGATGCCAGGGGGGGCTATACCTTGGCCTTGCCTCCGGCCCTCCTAGGTGTCGGGAGTTGCGACCTTAAGGTGCCCCTGGCCCAAGGTGCCCACAGCTTTTCGCTCAACTTTGGTGCCTCTGGGGCCCTCTGGGCCGCGTGAGGGGTGCTCTGGAGGCCGTGGGGGCCTCCTTGGAAATCCTGGGGGCACCTCGGGCCAGGGGCACTTCTAGCAACACCCGAAAGTGGGTTCCGAGCAGACGGGATCCACCCATCAACAAATTAAAGCGGCCGGATGTTTGGGAAGTGGGCTGGGGAGGGTTATAGGCGGGTGCCAGGGTAAGTTAAACATCTTTCCAAGCCTGGGTCTCAAGTGCCCTGAGTTGCTTACGGGGGTTGCTTAGTTCTAGGCCTCCCAGATGGTGTCCGAGTAGACGGGGTCGGAGCATCGCTCTGCATCGCTGATGTATCGGCGATGCGATTTTGAGCCGGCTGGGGGTCTCAGGTGGCCCAGCACGGGTTAGCCAGCAAGGAGGGGGGGAGGTTCGAGGTTTTGGCTTCGAGCTGGGGTCCGTTTTCAGGCCCCGGGACCTTCAGAAACTTTTCCCGGGTGTGAAAAACTGAGCCAGAGGGACCCCGGTAGGGGTCTGGGGACAGATTTTGAGCGGATTTGTTTGTACCCTCCCTTCTGGACAGATTCTGACGCTTACGCCGCAGCGCTGACCCCTTGGATTGCTGGATTGTTTCGCAGGCCTAGAGGTTGACACCAATGTGCCTCCATCGAGGGAAGAAGATCCCGACCTCGGTAATGGTGGTAACATTCTGACCTCCAAGGTGGCCGACATATTACCACCAACACCGAAATCTAGGATCATCTCCCCCCTGTGGAGGCAACCCCCTGTGTTGGTGTTGGTGCTCATTTCCAGGCCTCCATGTTGGTCTCGTGAGGGTCTGTCAGCGATCTTTTGGGGTCTGTTGTGGGTCGAGCTTGGAGGCTCACGGGCCGTTCAGGAACGAACAGATTTTGTGAAGGATGTGGATGATGCTTTAGATTATGGTTTTCTCTCTTGCTTTCTTAGTGTGTTTGTGTGTATATGTGTTTGATTGTGGGGGCGGGGGCAGTGGAGCCCGGTGGGGGTGTCTTGGGGACTCGAGCAGTGTCGTTTGGTTATTCAGGAGCGCGCGGTGGCAATTGACGCCACGTGGAGGCTGCGTGCGGCTGTTTGAGGCCATGCGGGAGAATAGGCTTCGCCCGAGGGCCCAGTCTTAGGGTCTTCTTCGACCTCATCCTAGGCCCTATCCCCAGGCCTTCGGGGTGTAGTTGTCGTTGGTGTTCTCTTGCTCGGGTGGCCCGCGCGCCGGCTTGACTTGTCAGGACGATGCGGAGTGGCGAGGGAACAGGAAGGAAAGGAGGAGCAGGATGAGGATGAGGAGGAGGAGGAGGAGGAGGGAGGAGGAGGAGGAGGCGAAAGAGGAGGAGAAGGAGGAGGAGGAGGGCGGAGGAGAAGGACACGATGTAAGTGCTACAAAGTTAGAGAAAGTGAATAGAACGCAGGGCGTCTGCTGTCGAACCTGCATGGTAAACAAGGCATACTGCGTTTGCTGCCCAGGAAGGCCTGGGCTTGTGCGCGTATGGAGATCCGAGAGATGTGACGACAGCGGCAAGTATCAATATTTTGCACATTGAAAGGGTTCCTGGTTTCGACAATGTGCGGCTCGTAGAGAGGGAATGCGGCATTGACTCGGGTAGGTCGGAGCAATGGAGATGCCACCTCGGAACGCGACGGAAGGCGCATGAAAAACCGCGCGCGGTGTCAAATAATTCGGTTTCTTGTATGTCATGCGAAAATGGCATTGGAATGGGCGCGGGGCTTGCGGTACGTGCCAGCGTGCTTTGTTTCCGCTACCGGCGGATTGAAGCGATCCGGTTCTCGTCCAGACGGGCGGGAAGATGAGCAGGGGGAGGAGGCGGCGGACGAGAACGATTTTCACGCGATGGTCATTTCCAGTGGCAGGAAACGAGTGCAGGCGGCACAGTGCACAGGGACGGAGGGAACGCCGCTGATGGCCAGAGTTTAGGTTATGTTATGCGAAATAAAGGTGCAAGAAATGGGATGCATTTCTGGACGTGCCAGGTATGGAATCGATGCAAGAGTGTATTTGAAACCACTGCATCCATGGTGCTCCTCAGTCAAGGCACAAACCAGCGAATGCGGGCAGGAGTTGCTTCATACAGATCGTATATTTCCGACCATTCACATTGCGTGCGTCTCCGATGGAAGATGTCTCGCGCGTATCCGATTTTGCGCGCGTGTGTGTGTGTGTGTGTGTGTGTGTGTGTGTGTGTGTGTGTGTGCGTGCGTGCGTGCGTGCGTGCGTGCGTGCGTGTGTGTGTGTGTGTGTGTGTGTGTGTGTGTGTGTGTGTGTGCGTGGGTGAATGTGTGAATGTATGTATGTGTCTGTGTGTGCGTGTGAGTGAGAGAATGTGTGCGTGTGGGCGGCGGCAGGGAGAGCTGCGCGTGAGTGGTCAGATGGTCGGTTCACTTGCGAGGGGACCAAGGGGTACGTTCAGCATTGTTGACGCTTCGCGAATCCCCACCAGCTTCGGCGCGCGCGCTGGCAATTAGGGTGCTCGCGGCCCGTGCTACTCTACTGACGCTGTCGGCGCGCTCACCTGCAGCTGCGACTCGAAAATAATCCCCCCAGCCCATCCAGAAACGATGCCCAGAGGAATTGCCTCGATCAGGGAAGTGGGCAGCACACAGAGGAAGGGTCCCCCAGTGGAGGCTTCTTGGAGCGTCTTGGGGGCCTCTAGGCGGTCCCGGACGCCTCTCAGAGCGTCTTGGGTGCCTGGGAGAGTTTCGTAGGGCCTCTTGGGGGTCTCTTGGGAGCCTCTTGGGGGCCTCTTGGGCGCCTGTTGGGGCCTCTTGGGGCCTCCTGGACGCCTCTTGGGGCCGTCTTGAAGCGCTCTCGGGGGCTTCGGGAGCGCTCTTGGAGCCCTCTTGGGCCATCTTGAAGCCATCTTGAGGCCTCGGCGAGAAAGCCGCCAAACACATTGATTTTCGCAAGGTTTTGGAAGGATTTTGGCCTCTTTGGGGCCTCCTTGGTGAGCTCTTTGGCCACTGGGAGCCGTCTTGGAGCGGTCTTGGGGCCTTTTTGGAGCATCGTGAACGCCATCTTGAGGCATCTTGGGGTATCTTGAGCCATCTTGGAGATCATCTTTGGCTCTCCCAGGCGCTCTTGGAGTCATCTGAAGCAGTGCCCCCCCCCCAGGAGGCCAAAATGTGGCCAAAACCTTGGTCAAGTCAACGATTTTGGCATTGTCGCCGAGGCCTCTTGGAGCGTCTTGGGTGCCTCTGGGGGGCCTCTTGGGGCCTCTTGGAGGTCTCTTGGAGGTCTCTTGGGAGCCTCTTGGGGGCATCCTGGGGCCTCTTGGGGGCCTCTTGGGGCACCCTTGGGAGCCTTGGGGGCGTTCTTGGGGCCATCTCGGCGGAGATCGATCAAAGAAGGGGGGGGGTACAGATTACGGTCGCCCCCTCAGATGGCCAACGTGGGGCCAAAACCTCAGTAGAATCAAGGATTTTGGCTTCCTCGCCGAGGCCGTTTTGGACGCTCCGACGACTCGCGAGACCCCTTGTCCAGGCTGGTGGGGAGGGGGTAGGGCAAGCTAGGTGCGCTCGCGTCATATCTGACGTCCTACCCCTCCCTCCCATCCCTTACCATGGCGCTGATTTTCTCTATCCGCGGACGCGTGTCGTAGCGGACCTGTGGCTCCGCGCGCGCGTGCGTAGTGGGTGGTGGTGCACGTGCGTGCGTGCGTGCGTGTGTGCGTGGTTGTCGTGGTGGTGGTGGTGGTGGTGGTGGTGTGGTGGTGGTGGTGGTGGTGATGGTGGTGGTGGTGGTGCTGGTGGTGGTGGTGGTGGTGCTGGTGGTGGTGGTGTTGGTACTGGTGCTGGTGCTGGTGGTGGTGTGGTGGTGGTGGTGGTGGTGGTGGCGGTGCGGCGCGGTGGTGGCGGGCGGATGGGCGCGCGAGAAAAAGGCCCGCGCTGGGGCGAGAACGCCATCCTGAACGACGGAGGCCAAACACCGATCCGAAAATGAGGCCCACG